AAAAGCATATATATATATATGCAAGCAAGCAGCAGCAGGGTAATTGCAGGCCTTCCAAAAAGAATTGAAAGTTGTACTCAAGGCATTAGATGATCAATTCTACATATTTTTGCTCTCCATCGGTAAATTCCAAAGAGACGTTTGCACATTCATAAAAGCATATATAGAAGGGTAAATAAAAAGATAACTTACCATTCAATTTTTCCCTTGCTGCTGCAAGTGAACCAGCAGAACCATAATCATTGCATGCAACCTGGAAATTGAGAAATGGGAAGAGTCAGGGAATGGTGCAAAATCGGTATACCACGATTAAAAAGAATACTGTTGAACATTGTATTCTCACACTCTTCACACTCAGTGAATCACATCTCTTCATGCTAACCTTTCCATTTGTCGTCCAAGAAAGTACTTCTATGGCTACTTAACATCAATCCAAGACTCCATTATCACCAATATAAGCTGTGAAATGAGTAAATAATATAGTAAAGATCACCTGTTCATGGTCTAAAAAGCTGCCAAACTTCAGATCATGCCTAGGAGCCAAGTTCCAAACTGAGAAGAGCTGCAACTAATTGATTAGGAAGAAAGTGTTTATATAAGTAATGGCACGAAGGCCTCTAATCCCTCTATGCAAACTGAAAATTTGAAATCACAGAACCAGCAGATTCTACTCTCCAAGAACCATTTACCAACACTTCAGTTCTGAATTAGTAAAGAGAACTTAGACATACATGTATAGATATGCAGAATATACGCCAATTCTTTTTAGCTTTGGCCTTTCTTTTACAGGAATTAAACTCGTCAATAAACCTAGAGTCCACCAAAATGGTGAGTTATGGCCCAACTCAGACATACTCGGACATCACAGGCGAAGATTCCCCTTTACCGGTAGCAACAATGAGTTGATGCTCATATCTGCAAGGCAAGTTAATGAATAATGAAAATCCTGTTCGAGGCATATGCAGAAGAGGATTCTAAAACTATGTGTATACCTCTTCAGCAGATTTCTAAAAGGAGAGTGACCTTATAAAACCTGAAACAAGAGACTATGCCCAGCTTCCCATCAGTCAAACAGTAGCGCCAAACAGCAAAACAACAAAGTTGAGCGAGTTAAAGCAATACCTGAGAAGGTAAGATCTTAATTCCCAGAATCCCACTTAACTCCGAAGTTTGTCTATGTTCAGGAAGACCACCTCCTAACTCACGAAAAATCATACAGAGAGAGTTAACTAATGCTTTAAAACAGGAAAATATTGATGCACATGTATTATTTCCATTCATTTGATTAGCGTGGCCTTCACATACAGTGTTAAGTAAACGAGTGGGTTGGCTTAGATGTCTCACCCATAGTAAGGAAGACGAAGGGAACTTTCAAAGACCCTACATTGTGGACATAGTAAACAAAATCAGAAGCAACAACAGCCACATGAGTAAGAAGGTGAGTTTCACTAACATACTCATTAAAGTTATTCATGAATGTTGAGTCATTCACTAGAGAGTTCCAGTCATCCCCACAAGTTAATGAATTATAAATCACCAAAAAGCTATTGTCTAAATGGAAACTTGAGCAAGCCTAATCCTTAGTTATTGTTTCAATAAGAGCTTCTGCTAAGTAAACAGGAACCCAGAAATGAAACCAACGCCCAAACAAAAAATTTGAGAAGGAGTACAATCAAAATGATTTATTACTTTAAGCCTTTCTAAAGGCTAACAGTGGAGTTATTAACGGAGAATACATTATGTATTCGATGATGTCTCTACCGCCTCATATATGCATGATGTTGACAATGCTACTGCATCCTTCAATCAGGTCTATTGTTACACACAGGTGTAGATACCATCTCTACATTTAAAATTCATCCATAAATTCACAAACAAAAGTTTGTAGCTACTTACCCGCCGATGCTTGTCCCTCGAATCACCGCTCTTACTCTCAGAATTCAGTGTCTTTCAAAACCAGCAACAGCCAAGCTCCCGCACACCTTCTATAAATAGGCCTTACTCTCGCCCAAGTCCTAACAAGAACCAACCATCCAACAGTCATTTCAAGAGGGAAAGTTACATCACATAACAATATGAGGAGTCATATTATTCACTCTCATAATCACCAGCCTCCTCGACCTCAAGGTGGAGGCGAAACCTCAAACTTGCTTGCCCAGATGCAAGCTCTAAGGAAAAAAAGCCTCTGCCAAAGAAAGTCAATCAGATCACTGGGACATCGAGTACCCATGCCAGCTGCTGCTGACAAGAATACTGCACATGGACCCAATTGATTGATTAGAACCTTGCATGCACTCCGTAGTATGTGAAATCGCTATTCAATCTACTTCTCCACCATAAGTCATTAAATTGAAAGTCATGTAATACCATAAGCAGAACAGAAGGCATGACTTCAGGAGAAAATCAGGGAATTAAGTTCTCATGGGCATTCCAACAAACATCTGTCAGGCACCAAACAAATATCCTATTTCACCCACCACGATTGTTGAAAGACCAAATTAGACATGATACTGGTTTAGGAAAGGAATAACGTCATGATAAGAATATTGATCAAGGGAAGGAAACAATGAGACTCGATCAAGAAGTTGAAAATTAGGGTTTGTAAAAACTGCCGATTGAGAGAACAAGCTCAATCGAGCCCCTCCAAGAATCTTACCACGTTTCAAAATTGGACAACGCGGGTTGCAGCTTAGATTCCATGGTCGGAAGCGATCACAATGGCCGATGACAATAGATGGTGATCGACAGCGGTAAGCGAGGTTTCAAAATCGCCTCGATTAAAGGTGGAACATGGTGGAGGACAAGCGAAGGGGTCGCCGGGTGAAGCTGCATGATGGTGATCATCGCCGAGCAGAATTAGGGCCGGCAGATTTTTTCAGGAAACGGAGGACGGAGCGTCTGGCAAAATCGTGATAACTCTAGAGAGAAGGCAGAGAAAGGAAAGGAAGAGAGAGAATGGAAGGTTGGAGAGTTGAGAATTGAGATGCCTTAACTTTCTTTCTCGTTAATATCGTCCATGGAAGAAACAAAAGTATTTTCCTTTTCTATTTTCCTATTTTGAAAGTTAAAGAAAATTAAATTAAGACACATTTATACAAACCTGCACCGTGAAACGTGAAAGTAGTTTCTCGACGGGTCCACGGACCGTCAAATATGTCCGTCAAAAAGTACCATATATTGACGGGCGAAGACGCTGTCACTAAATGCCCGTGGTTATTTTGCAGTTTTCTTGTAGTGATTTATTTGCCACTATTTTATGATAATCACCTTATTAGAGTTTTGATCATAGAACTGCATGTTGTTTCCTTGTTTCGACTACACATGTGCACACGCAGACCTTTCTTGGTCTGTTAGTCCTTCTGAGTTCAAGTTAAGATATGCTCTAGAGAGATAAGTGGTATTCCAAGTTTTAGAGAGAGAATCCAACTTGGTTAAATGCTCTTACCTGCTCCCTATTTATACCTGGATGTGGATCCGACAACCTTATCATAGCATTAAATCTATTATTTCCCCAAACGGGCATGGGTCTCGACCAACGCTCTTGATCACACACATCGCCACAAAGGCACATGCGCCAGGCTGTCAGTATCAGTACTGATTTGGAAAGACACTTACTTTGTCGTCATGCGCCTCCGAGTAGGGGTTTACTTCTTGCCCAACTCAAAATAAACATGCTATGTTAAGTGTGCCTAGCCTCATGTATTAATCTCCTCTAATTGATTTGATTTGATTATGATTACGATGGAAGTTAGGGTTTCCAGCCACCGTCTACAAAAATATATAATAGCCGAATTCAACCTAATACTACTCGGCTACAAGAGAAAGGGAAATTACAAAGAAATCCCTTGAACAAAATAATGTGACAAATAAGTACATGTAATAGTAACGAAGGTAGCTAGGGATGCACGTAAATGGTTACCCAAACTATATATGTTTCAATTAAGGATCTTTCGGCATCCTTTCACTATCATTTTTGGACTCCATAATCTCTAAGAATATTCAAGTACATCAGAAAGAGCTTCAAAATATAGTTTTTGTTGCTCTAGTTCAGGGACTGCTTGCATTAATTATCAAGAATCAATTATTCAAATAGATTTGGGGAAGTGGAAGATGATGAGCCACGGTACTCTCTGAGGCAAATCTCTTCGTCAAGATTTATAAATCATCATCGGACCATGATAATCATTTTACTTAACTCAGAAAGAGATATCCTAACAAACTCAGAAAGAGACTATGATAAACTGTATGAGTTATTTGTATTCAAATCAATATTGTCAGAACCGAACCGGAGCATGACACGATAATGTGAACGGCTCGCACTTTAGTGGTCCAACCGAGATTAGACCGCTTAAAAATCGTTAGAGAACCGGTACTTAATAAACGTTATCAGTATAAATGGTGGACATTCCTTAATCAGAGCTCGTCTCTTTCCTTCGAAATTGTGAAATGGAAATAAGGATTCAGTTTGAGAGCCCCGACGTTTTTTATTTATTTCAATTTTCAATTTTCTGTAATTTTAATTAAATTTAACGGCTGAATTGCAAAAACCGAACGAGCGGCTCGATCGGCTCGAGCGGTTAACCGCCTCGGCCGCTCGTCAACCGTTGCATAAAATCGAAGCGGCTTTTAGACTATTCCAAGCCAGTTTTATGATCGGGTGACGGTTTTACTGGTTGGACCGAGCGGCTCGGCTTTAATAACACTGGTTCAAATAACTCATTTCAATAAAACGTTGCCAAATGAGTTATTTGGATCCAAATAACTCACAAATATCTCATACAAACACTCCATCCAAATCACCCCACTTCTGTAATCCATATGATCCTTTTTCTCAAGCCAACGGCTCACTTGAAGCGGCCACTTGGTGATCGACAATGACTGACTTAAAAGCCTGCTTGCATTATGAAGAATCAAACATACACATATATTTGCGGGACTACAAGGTGATGATGAGCTGCATTATTCTTCGAGGTTCGTCAAGATTTTAAAATCTACCATCGGCTACGATAAGCGTTTTATTCCAACAAAGAAAAAGACACCCAAAACAAACTCAAAATGGAAAGATAAACCTGACAGACTCAATTTCTTTCTCACATCTTATTCGACGCGTACATACGATCCATATTTTTGCGACACCAACGACTTGAGTGATCGACAGTGAGCAAAGCAATCAATCGTCTGACCAGGTGACCGCCATTAGGCCCCACTGGTTGTGCGGCACCTTCAGGGCTTCCCACACGGCTTTGGATGCGTCGACGATATTGGGCTTGCAGTGGGCGTGAGAGACGTCGCATTCATCCACCACGCGTGCTGTCGCCGAATTCCCATTGGGCCCCCGAATGGTGATGGACCGGAAACACCGCTGCCCGTGAGCGTACCACGGGGTCGACAACGCCACTACGGGCGTGTCGTCCGGGTGGAACCTGCCGTCGCACTCTGACGGCCCGCCACCTGACCCGCCCCTCTGGAACCCGTTTATCGTCAGCTCGGCTTTGGCATTTCTGATCCTCGCGAATTTGGCCGTTGCTTCGCCGCCAACAACGGTGCTGTTAGCGGCGGATTTCTCGTAAACGATTCGGCACGCAGCTCGAGAGGAACAGAACGCAAGGAGAACAGCCAGTGCGATGGAGATGCAGTGCTTCGTGTCCATGATTAGACGGAAGCAAACAACTTCTGTGTGCGGAGATGATCAGTTGAGGATGTGGTCGTGCGGGTTTATATGCAAAAAAAACTATGCCGGGGGTGCGTATGCGAATGAGTACACACGTGTCATTATATGAGTGGAGGGGGAGAATGATTCTAACATTTCAACATTTCTAGTAAATATCTAAGGTGTTTGTATACTTTTTTTTGTTTGTTTTGTGGCTCTTGAGAATTAGTGTTGTGATTCTCTTAATTACAACGGGATTGATTAATAAAATAATGGTGCGTTGCGGACGACTATGTAAAGAAATTATTTACCTTTGGGTTGTGTGGAAATTACAGTAGTCATCGCCAACCAGTAGTAAGCCGTCCATTTTGATTCTCTGTGGCTAATGAAACGACAGAACGTATGAGATCGAGGTACCTAACTAAAACCTTTAGCATAACTCCAATCCTCTCTCTTTCATGTTCAACCGATTAGAGTTCTTCTTTTCCATCACCGATTTTAAACATTATTAACAAAATGATAATGAGATTAAATATAATATGTAGGGCTAATTATATATAAAAAAAAAGAATACGTAGGACACCATCTACTTTAATTATTCACCTGCTGTAAGTTTATTTAATTCTCGTATATACTAGTGTCTATTGGCAAAAACAAATTACTTTTATATATTTTGACAAAAAAAACCCATTGAAAAAATCAATACTATGAATCTATGATGGTAGGGAGTAGATAGGGTGCTAACACTTACATTCATTAATGGTATTATAGTATTTTAACCCTTCTCCCTATCCTTTCCCCTTCTCTTCTCTTCCCCTTCCATTCACGTTGTTTTTCTATGTTTCATTTACAAATTACAGTTTTGGTACCTAAACTTCATAGGTATTAATGTTTAGTACCTAAAATTATTTTTTTACATTCGAGTACTAAAAATATCGATGGAAAATTTCATTTAGTACTTGATTTTTTTCCTTACATTTTGGTACCTAAATTTTTACAAATTTACAAACCGATCCACTATTTGTGGCATGCTATGTGGTCTGGTGGCATGCTTTGAGGTTGTGGCGTTATTTAGGAGGTTGTGGCATGCTTTGAGGGGGGTTGTAGCGTGCTTTGATGTTGCGGCATGCTTGGAGGAGGTTGTGGCATGGTTTGTGGTCCCCCTTCCCTCCCCTTTCCCAATTTTTTCATAATACCAAACATGCCCCCTCTTCACATTCTCCCTTATTAATTGTGGTCAACTCATTTAAATGAAAAATTCATCCAAACAAAATATTATGATTGATTGAAGCTAGTGTTACCACCATACTAAAATAAAAAAAAGGGTTAGCACCCTAGCCCTCCCGTGAGCCGTGATAGTACATAAGTTATATAGAAAAAGTATGAGCGATATACAAAACTACTATTTACCTAAGAAGTAAATTTTGTACTACATCGATTAATTACGAGAAATAATTTTTAATTAGCTTAAGTCATAAATAAATCATTCTACCGTATAAATTCATATGGGTGGCTTTCAATGGTATTATCAGACCAACTTTATTATCACTCCAACTTTATTATCATACTAGGTGGCGATGCGCGACATGTCGCGAGGCGGAGATGACCTATGGGCATGTATTATGTGACCCGTTATGATATTTTGTTAGTATTATTAGCCTAAAATTAATTTTTTGTTAGCAATTTTGTTAGTAATATTGACTAAGAAGAGACATATGGAGGTCAACATCCAATTTAAATCTTTTTGAAAAATTTGGCTAGTAAATGATATTTACCTAAACCCAAGTAGACCCATTGATTATCGGTAGAGAATGTGTTATGTATATATGAGTTTGGACGTTTGTATATGGGTTTGGGTAGGGTATGAATATTTACTTCCATAATCTAAATGTGTATGAGTTGGGTACGGATACCCATTTATTCTAGGTGTTTTGATTATACATACAAAAATTAGACCTATTTTTAAAACCTCAAAAGTTTAGGTACCAAAAGGTAATACACAAAAATTTAGATACTAAAATGTAATGTTCCATCAATATTTTGAGGACTTATATGTCAGCAAAATAAATTTAGGTTATAAATCTAAGATCTATTAAGTTTAGGTACAAAACTGTAATTTGCATAGTTGAGGCTTAATTCCTTTTATGGTGATGTATTTAAGATGATAATTATTTACTTCTATATAGAAAATGAAAGATGTTTATTTGATATGTGTAGATACATAGCAAACATTCCACGTATAATTGTTGAAAATTATAGCCCGGGTGAAAAAGAAAAACCCTAGAGAGAAGCAACTCGCTTAAAATTTCACGCCTTTAAATCTCATAGTGGAAAATGACAAATTTATAATAATTAATAACCATATATATTTAATTGGACTCGACATTGAGCTAAAAAAGTTAGTAGGTCATGGTTCAATTATTAGTTCTCTAGACTGTTGGTGAGTTGTGTACCGACCCGTTCATACTTGTGATTAGAGTACATAAAAATAGTATACTAATTAGGGTTAGACGAAGAAGGTAGAGGAAAAAAATAAAGAAAGGGTTATGCAAGGCGAGTGAAAAATGAAACGAAGAGGAAATAGATGATGGAAATTTTTTGACCATTTCTTTTAGTTGGCCATTTATACAAAAGTCAACCCTTTTTCACCGTAGCAATTTATTGACACTTGCTTATGTAGATATCGCATATTATGTTACATGTAGTTAGTAGAAGTTTGTTTAGTACCCGTAAATGTACTAAATGAGTTTGTAAATTCGCTCTTGCAATATTTTAGAGTCGTCTCTCTTTTATCATTTATTTAATGTTTCATGTAATGAGCCAACTAAATTTATACATCGATTGGATTCATGTCTTGGTTCAAAAGGATTGGTGGATTGTATTCGTGGATTCAAGTGAAATCTAAACATTGGACCAATATGTAAATTTAAAAAATTGTAGGTACGAAAATCTCATAAAATTTAGATACCAAAACATAATTGTTCAATAATTTTACATTAAAATTAATTTTGGGGTATCACAATGTAAAATGTACATTATAGTCACTAAGTTATGATTTAATTAAATTTGGGGTATCAAAATGTAACATTTTATGCAATAGTAACCTTACTTCATATTTATATATATTAAATGGGTGGCTTTCAATGGCTTTCAATTAAAAGAAGTTAAGATGACCACATGTATTAAGTTACCTAGGCTCGTGGCACCCAGGCCATTATGCACCCTACACCCCTTTATATCACTCCATTAACTCCAAATTTTGGCTTAGTGTTGATTATCCACCCTCATGTCATGAGAAGTGTGAATCGCATACCCCATTGGTGTGATCAAAGGGGCCATCAGTTTACCCCTAGTGCAATGAGGTGGGTAGAAATTGGCTAACTATGGAGGAGAGGAGACTGGAGAGAGATAATGTGTAACTTAATGATGGGAGCATAAACTTGACTAAATATTGATGCACCCATGTGATGAGTGGGGTCATCATCGTCTATATCTCTCCTGATGCAGCGAGGGGAGGACCTGCCCAGGGAGGATTTATGGAGGGTTAGGGGTGTCCCGGGACACCGCTAAAATTTGGGAAAATAATTATCGATCCTCCAATAGTAGAATCTGTATGGCGAAAAAAAAATACACATGTAGCTAGTGAGATTCAAACTCGGGACACTGTAATTATTAATATCAATGTTGTCCACTGGGCTACACCCGACTTCGTGTCATTATTTAGACACATATTTATTAATACAAACTTAAATTGGCCAGACAGCTAAAAATTAATTAACAATATCGGGACACCCTACATCAGCTGAGACGAACGAAATCCCCTTCTGATTTACGACTTTTCACCGCCCCCGCAAAACCGCACTCCCGAAACCAGCTCCCAGCGGACAGCGCCACTCGAGCATCTGCTCGGCTGCTCCTCCAAGGCTCCAACATGCAACGGCGACGGCAGACCAGTTGTTTGCCGACGAATCTCCGACTCCGACCTCCTCCTTCGAATCCAACCTCCTCCTTGGAATCCGCAGCAGCCACTGTTCGCATAACACATGTAGGTTTCCAAGTTTTCTTGTTTCAAAATTTCAAACGTTGTCTGTGAATTTCAATTGGGTGGGGTCCTGTTCTTATTTGGTAGTCATATGTTGCATTCTTCGTTGCCTACTTGCCTAGTTGCATTTGTTCTTGTTTGGGTGAGAGCCGAGAGGAGGAGAAGTTTGGATGTTGCGGCAAGGTGTTTTGTTCCAGAAATATGCTCTTTATTCATTCCTTAGTTGCTTTTATTGTTGTCTCTGAATTAGGTACAAACAAATGGAAAGATATTACACAAGAAAGGTCCTTAGTAGTCCAAATGTTCAAACTGAAGGTGTTGAAACTAATGGAAGTAGACGAGCTCAAACATTTCCTCCCTCACAGGCAGTGGGAGCTACTCAAACACAAGAACCAAATCTTTCAAGTTCAGTGAATCACTCTCCAGAGAAAAGTGAGTCTTCTTCAGCAAAGTCGGATAGGGAGTTTGATGTAAACTATTTGCCATTAGATCCTGGATTAAGGGATAAAATGTCTAGTTTTCGTCCCAATATCCATGATGAGGTTAGAAGATATTATCTTCAAAAGGGTCCTATTCAACCAAAGGGTCATGATTTTCCCTGCAGAAATTTCAGTGGAAAGAAGCGTAAATTCCAAGAGTCTTGGTTTAAAAAGCATAATTGGCTTGAGTGCAGTGTTTCAAATGATGCTGCTTATTGTCTATACTGCTATGTGTTCAGCAAGAGAGGTGGAAGTGATGATGGCTTTATTGGTGAAGGTTTTAAAACATGGAATAAATTGAAAGATTTTGCTGATCATGTTGGTGCGCAAAACAGTTACCACAATAGAGCTAAAAACAGTTCTGATCTTTTGCTGAAGCAAGCAACATGCATTCAAGTTGCATTATGCAGACAATCAGATCAAGCCAAAAGAGATATCGAATTCGTTTGGTTGCTTCACTTAATTGCATAAGGTGGCTAGTAGTGAGTGGATTGTCATTTCGAGGGCATAAAGAATC